ACGGCTTCTCTAATAAAAAAAGGTTGAGTTTGAAATTAAGGTACAAGTTAGAAGAAAGAAAAATTTTGAGAACCATGCTATCAGATTTCATCAAAGCTGCTTCGAGAAATAACAGTATAAGATCTGTTATTGCATTTGGTACAGGGATGCTCTTGGACAGTGCCCAATGGGAGATCTCTCAGTGTTTCCTATATTAAATTTCAGGCAGGATTTTTTTTTTAAAAGATAAATGCGGACAACAAAATCTTTGCCAGCTTATGGAACTTACACATGTGTTCTCCTCACGGAGACCGAAAACCATGGAGCTGTGTCTTCACTGATTAGGTCACTCAGACTGATTTGTATTTCAGTTCTGGCAAGAGTTCTGGCCCACATGGCCTCGTCTGTGACCTGGTTTCCTTCCTGTTTTTGGCCCTCCAATCAGTCCTTTTTTCCTAATTTGACTTTGTATTACATTTATATTCTGTTACTTTATCATATGTTTCCTGCAAAGTCACCTCAAATACTTTATGGGATGATGAAAGACATGTCATAGAAGAAAATGGTATTTTATAATTTTTAAAAGCTGCACAGATGATCCTAAACAGAGAATAAAGACAATGTTTACACTAAAATCAGTAAAAATATGTGAATATATGTAGAAAGATATGTAAAAAGTTCAGAAATCAAGGAGAAACAGTGTAAGTGGAGTAATATTTCTTGGGTCTTTTTCCCTGTAAAAGATACTCAAGTCTTCAAGACCCAACCAAAGTTTTACTTAAACAAATTAATGTAAGGGATATTTTTAATATAATGATCAATATCACTACTCGTAACAACAGGTAGCATTTGAATAATACTTTACAATGAACAAAGCGCCACTACATGATATCATTTAATCTACAAAAAAATTTTAAATCAAAACTTCTACCTTTTGTGTCTCGGGATCTATTAACCAGTTCCAGGCCCCAGTGGCTGTGCAGACAGATACCACTATAAGCAGCACTGATGGAAGATAAACATGAAATTAGTGAGGACATACCTGGTAACAAATATATTAGTATCTACATGAGTAAATGTATACAAATACCACCAGTTCCTAATAAATGACAGCCAAAGGATCCAGCACTTTATTAAACGGAAAACTGAGGAATTTGGAAACTTTCTGTATGACCTTGAGGAATTCAGTTAAACACTGTGATACTTAGTAACTGAGAATGATACTGTCCCCATTATTGCTTTGGTCAGAACTTTCTAAGATTAATGAAATTAAAAGCAGAACAAAGATACTAAAATTTTAATGTAAGATTCCATATTATGTAACTTTCAATGTGCTTTGTGATTTTGCACATCTTGTAAATTCAAGTTAAAAAACAAAAAACACCTCTCATTTTCAAACGTAAACAAACCAAACGAAGACTCCTTTAGGAATGCACGGAGAATTCTGACTAGAAGATTTGCCTTGCAGACAACTGCCTGCAGTTAGGAATGTGGAATACACCGATCAGGATCCGATTTTCTTTAGAGACCTGAAGATCAGGGTAAAAATAACTGGTAGTAGACCTCAGAAAAATCTTCTTTCTCCCCACTAAGCTAGAATTATTTTAGGGATTCTAAATAGATCCTAAATAAAACTTAAGACTAAATGGTACCGGGCACCTGGCTGGGTTAGTCAGTGGAGAATGTGACTCTGACCTTGGAGTTGTTGGTCTGAGCCCTACATGGGGTGTCGATGGATAATTTAAAAACGAAATCTTTAAAAAAACGTTTTAAAGAGAATAAATGGTATTCCTAGAATAAGAGCACTAAGACTTAGTTAACATTCTGGGTATCAAGTTACTGTCCTTCAGTTAGTATGCCGACAGTGTTAACATGTAAAGATCAGGATTCAAAGAACAATAGAAACATAGTAAAACTGTATCTAGGATTCCTGGTGATGTACCTTTAGAAAGGGCAAATCACAAGAAAACAATCTCATTTTAGGCACTTAGTACAGAATCAAAATTTCAAAACTGCATTCTCAGCTCAGAACTGACTAAACTCAGTTTCTTAGAATTCTGTTTCCAATAAGAAATATATTCATACTACATAGATTCTTCTTTTAAAAAATGAAGCAAAAGCAAAATCAAACCCATGGGAGGGACCTTGGACACATACTTTTGATCGGTACCTTACTCAAGCTGAAGTCCTTGGAGACCATAAGCACAGAGACAAATAATCACAGAAAACAATAAAGTACACTCACTATATTATATTTTGTAAGATAGGACATTATCATGTACATTTAAAAGATTTGGGGGGGTGGGGTTGCCTGGGTGGCTTAGTTGGTTAAGCAGCTGACTGTGGCTCAGATCATGGTCTCACAGTGAGTTCAAGCCCTGCGCTGGGCTTTGTTCTGACAGCTGGGAGCCTGGAAACTGCTCTGGATTCTGCGTGTGTGTCTCTCTCTCTCTTCCCCTCCTCTGCTCATGCTCTCTTTCAAAAGTAAATAAACATTTAAAAAAATTTACAAAAAAAAAAGAAAAAATTTTCAAGTAGCAGTGAAATAAGGTTTGGGGGGTAATTCCTCCATAAACCAAAGAACTTGAGAAAATCATTACTTGTAAATTCTGACCAATCAGAATTCTCACAGCATATGAATAAAACTTTGCAAACAGATCTAATAAAAACATCACAGAAAGTGTTGACACAGAAAAAAACTCCTAACTTCAATAGTGCTCTCTGGTCCCACAAGCTGAATTTTGAAATCCATGTGTTGTTGTACTTACCTCTTTGCAGGAATTCAATTTTAATAACACGCATCCAAGAACCTACGACTGACCCCAACATGAGTGAGTTTAGCAGTTTGTGCACTGAGGTCATCCCTTGCGTATGCGTCTGCATTTCTTGTGTTATTTCCACGGGGCAACAATTCTCTCAATCATATTTTGTGTTACTCGTGATATTTTGAGTATACAGTTAAAACTTGAATTTGTTTTCTTGGACAGGCTCCCAAACAACACAATCACGCTCTGCTAAAATTGACTAAGGGTAATGTCACAACCTTTGTATATGTTAAATATGGTTTTCCTCAATAAAACTTCAGAAGTTTGTAAGCAAATTGTAAAACTGCTAAACAAGCTCCTTGAAATTATTATATGTCACTTATCAACAGTGTAATATTTAATTTTAAAAGTATTTTAATGGAAAAATAAAAATTCAAACACATAGAAACTCCATGGCCAGTTCCTTTTCTTAATAATTTCTTTAGGATGCTTTGTTTACAAAACTAAATAAGTTTAAAAGCTGTCACAACGGGGGCGCGCCTGGGTGGCTCAGGTGGTTAAGCCTCCACTCTTGATTTTGGCTCTGATCATGATCTCACGATTGGGGAGATGGAGCCCCGCGTCTGGCTCTGCACTGGCAGTGTGGAGCCTGCTTGGGATTCTCTCTCTCTCTCTCTCTCTCTCTGCTCCTCCCCCACCCACACTCTCTCAAGATAAACTTAAAAAAAAAAAAAGGCAAAAGCTGTCAAAATGAAAGGAAACCTTATGATTTAGTAAAGCCTTTGTTGGTCAAAAATTTTACACAAAAGCAAATCATTGCTAGGCTGGGATAAAAGTATCAACTGTCACCTTATTTTGCCTCAAAGAAACATTCAAAAACTTACTTCTCCAACGTCCAGTGGCAGGTTGCAAACAATGAATATATTCTGTAAGTCTCCTCTCAAAAGCCTTGAGATCTAGGTAAAGAGATGCCAAATTTCTAATTAGCCACCTTGACCGGTCTGAATCTATTAAGATGAAATTTTAGAAAATCTAACTGCTTCAGGTCTTACACACCAACTTACATGTATCACTGCACTGTTTACTTCGTTTACAGCTTTAAATACTTGGCAAAAATATTAGGTTTCTTTAATTCCAATTTCACATATAAGGAAACTGGCTGGTTCACTTTTAGAAGCTTCGTTAAGTGGTTATGTGGAAAATCAGCAGCAGCCTCGGCCGGGGCCGAAAGCTAGAATTTTGGGAGTTGCAAATAAAAGGATCAAAATCAGAGCAAGTTTTAATTCTGTCGGAGCTAAGAACTTTCTATTAGAACGTATTCCCCTAACATCAAAGGCTTCGAGGTCTATATGACCGCAATGACCCGATTCCGCCCTCCAGCCCTCGTGAGTTTAATTAATGGTTACGCTTTCGGTTCGCTCTTGCTGGACTTCTGATTCGGCTAACGGGTGGGTGTGCAAAGACACTCCCCTTTCCTCCCTCTGAATGGGTTACAGAATGGGTTACAGGTGATCATCGTGACGCTCTCGAAGCTCAAGCTCGGAGGCGTCCAAGGTGCTACCGAGCGAGCAAGGGAGTCTCGGTCGCGTCTTTTAAACTTTAAAAAGAGATCAAGAGGCACTCGCTCCCTCCAGCAGTTACCAGAAACCACAACAGGAATTAAGAACACAACTCCCGGGGGTTATCAGTATGAAGTAAGGTGAATTAGCACTCACAAAAGGCAAAATGCAAATCTTTGCCAATGAATAAAAAACCGAAGTAACCCAGGAGAGGGGCTCCCGGTCCGAGCTGGGAGGGAGGGGGGGATGGGAGAGCTGACGCAACGCCCCCCAGCTCCCGCGGAGGCCAGGCGCGCCGGAACCAGCGTCCGGCCGCCCCTTGGCCAGGCTCCCGCGCCCCCCAAGCTCCAACCCCCTTAGTCCATCCTTCTCGGCCTCCTCTCCCCGGGGCGGGGTCTCCTCTGCTCCGGCTCCTCCAGAGCCCCGCCGGCTTCCGAGAAGACCCGGGACGGGCCCGGCCAACCCAGTAAGCCCACTCTACCTTCCGCCTGCTCCAGGGAGTTCATGTCGGGCGGCAGCTCCAGTCACCGCCACTGTCCCGTCCGCATCGCAGCTCCCCGGCGCGACCCACAGCGCCAACTCCCACCTCTAACCGCTCCCCGCTGCCCCTCCCCGTCGCACCTCCCCTTGCCTACACCCGCTACGCTCATTGGGCATCCCTGCCAGACCCCACAATTAAGGCGGCCTCCTATTGGTTAACTCTGGCACCGGCCTCGGGGCCTAGCGTTGGACGGTCAGCCGGAGGGACCAAGAGCTGCCGGCGGCCGGGCTGGTGTAGCGCTGACGCCGCCTCCTGCCCCGGGGAGGAACTGCAGCCTGTCGGAGCCAGTTCGCTCGTAGGTATATTCTTTGCTTCCTGCTTGGTTCTTCCATTCCTCAAACGTTTATTGAGCGCCCGTTACCTTCCGGGCCATGTTCTGGTCGCTTACGAGGGAATCAGAAATGAACGAACTATCCTCCCTCTAACACTGGGAGTAGAACCCAAATAATGTATGCAGGTAGAGTACGTCTTTCCTTGATGACTCTTTAAGTAGGCATATTTCCCTCGGTCAGTTTTTCTTACCTTACCCAACTTTCATGTATCATAAAGAATGCAAGCAAAGTATGAGCCTCAGAACCTAGAAGTTAAAAAAGTCTGTAAGGTATGGGCTAGGTTTGTGTTTAGTTAAAATGCTTCTTGTTGGTTTCCTTGTGGTCATTCAAGAACTGTTTATTGCATGATGTTCTATTCACTGTATTTTATCAGGGATACAGTTATGAGGAAGATAGAGAAGATTTTTGTCCTAAGAGAGGAAGAGTTACAGCAGGCTATAAACATGCAACTAAGTAATGCAACTCTTGATCATGGGGTCCTGAGTTTGAGCCCCACCGGACATGTAGTGCTTACTTAAAAAAATAAATAACAGCAAATAAATAATTGGATTCAGGTAGAGATAATTGTGTGAAGGAAGTAACAGTAATACCATACAGGGAGCTAAAGGAGGGGTTAGTTAATTATTCAATCAATTAATTCATTAACGTAAACCCTAAGTCACACTACCCCTTTTCACTTCTTGCTCAGTGCGCCATTTCTCCACCTCCAAGTTTTGTTCATCACGTTTTCCTTTGGTCTCCAGCAGTGTCTAAAGAATGGTTATTGAGCATCTGTTACATTATAGGCTTTCCTGCGCTAGATCCTGGGGAGGTGAGGAGTGAGAAACACTGATGAAGAGGATGGCACAAAGCGCCATGATAAGTGGGAACTTTGCTGACTGGCCTTCCAAAGAGATCTGTTAACTGCAGGTCTTCTGCTTGCTTGATGGGGTATGTCAGTTTCTAGCGAGAACTTGGGACGACAGAAAGAAGACCAAGGACTACCTCTTAGGTTTCTCCCTCTCCAGCTTTCATTTTCAACTGTGCTCAAATAAATGTTGAACGTGTCTTTGAAAAGGTGTACATTCTTAGCCTGTCATGGGGGTTAGGAGGCGGTAAGGAAGAAGAGGAGGGAAATAGGGCCTCAAAGTGAGGTTAAGAAATTTTGTTTTTTGTTGTTGTTGTTTTTTTATCTGAGACACACACACACACACACACACACACACACACAGGGAGAGCATGTGTGCACAAACGGGAGGGGAGGAGACAGGGAGAGAAAGAATCCCAAGTAGGCTCCACACTGTCAGCAGAGCCTCAACACGGGCCTCAATCTCACAAACTGTGAGATCATGACCTGAGCTGAAATCAAGAGTAGGACTGAGCAATCCAGATGCCCCCATGTTAAGAATTTTGAACCCAAGATACTGGGGAGACCAAAGGATTTGTAAAAACTCATATAAGGGTGCCGGGTTGGGCTGACAGCACGGAGTCTGCTTGGGATTCTCTCTTTCCTCTCCCCCGCCCCATCTCTTCAAAAGCTCTCTCTCTCTCTCTCAATAAACACTGAACAAAACAAAAAACAAGACTTTGTATCAGTGAGATTTGGCAAGAACATAGCCAACAAGTACTCAAGGAATTCATACATATTCCAGGTACTGGGACATAAACTAAGAATTTAAAGTTACCTACAACGAACTCCAGCCCTCTGTAAGGCGGGAGTTAGTGTAAAAAACAAAGATAAACTACCACTCCGAAAACATCAGCGATGGGACAAAGATCCACTTGGAAGAAGAATGTCCAGCACAATAGCTAAGGGTTGTTACCTTTTACTGAGGGGACGGGCACTATCCCTTTTGTCGTTCAGGAATGTCAGAGCTCCTTTAAACCCTACAACAGGTCTGAGTCAAAGGGTGTATGTCAAACCCATTTCAGAGATGAGTTTATATATGAGTGGCTGAAATGATCAACTCCAACCCTGTAGCTGGAGTTATTATTGATCTCTCTCTCTCTCTCCTTCTCTCTCTCTCTCTCCTTCCACATGGTACACCAGATCACTTAACAAATCTTTTGTTTTTTTTTCTAATTTTTAATGTTTTATTCTGAGAGAGAGAGACAGCATGAACAGGGGAGGGGCAGAGAGAGAGGGAGACACAGAATCTGAAGCAGGCTCCAGGCTCTGAGCTGTCAGCACAGAGGCGGATGCGGGGCTTGAACCCGCGATCTGTGAGATCATGACCTGAGCCGAAGTCGGACGCTTAACCGACTGAGTCACCCAGGCGCCCTTCACTTAACAAATCTTGTTGGCTCTGGCCTCAAAATATATTTAAACTTTAATCACTTCTCGCTACTTCCACTGTAACCACTCTGGTCCAAGCCACTATATAACCTGGGTTTACCTCAATGATCTCCAGCTGTTCCCCTCCTTCCACCTTTGTCTCAGAGTGGTTTGTAAAATACTAAAAGATCACCCTAGGGGCGCCTGGGTGGCTCAGTCAGTTAAGTGTCCGACTTTGGCCCAGGTCATGATCTCACGGTTCGTCGGTTCGAGCCCCGTGTCGGGCTGTGTGCTGACAGCTGGCTCGGAGCCTGGAGCCTGCTTCAGATTCTGTGTCTCCCTCTCTCTCTCTGACCCTCTCCTGCTTGCAAGCTCTTTCTCTTGCGCTCAAAAGTAAATAAACACTACAAAATTTTAAAAAAATCATACTTTTAAAAATGTTTATTTGGGGCGCCTGGGTGGCTTAGTCGGTTAAGCGTCCGACTTTCGCTTAGGTCATGATCTCGCGGTTCGTGGGTTCGAGCCCCGCGTCGGGCTCTGTGCTGACTGCCAGCTCAGAGCCTGGAGCCTGTTTCAGAGTCTGTGACTCCCTCTCTCTCTGACCCTCCCCTGCTCACGCTGTCTCTCTCTCTCTCTCTCCTAGAAATAAATAAAAATAAAACATTTTAAAAAATGTTTATTTATTTTGAGAGAGAAAGAGAGCACAAGTGGGGTAAGGGCAGAAAGACGGCAGGACAGAGGGTCAGAAGTGGGCTTTAGACTGACACCAGAGAACCTGACTCAGGGCTTCAAACCCATGAACTCGTGAGATCATGACCTGAGCCAAAGTCAGATGCTTAACCAACTGAGCCACCCAGATGCCCATGAAGTCACACTATTTTTGCATTCAGAACCTTGCAATAGCTCCCAAAAGTGATACAGTAATAATTTTGATAGCATTTCCATGGCTATACCTTCTAAAATAATTTTGATGAGCTATATGCCCCCTCATACATTCTTTTTTATTTTTTAAGATTTTATTTATTTTTTGGGATGCCTGGGTGGCTTTCTCCCCAGAGAGAAGAAGACAGGATCTCCCAAGCAGTCTCCATGGTCTCAGTGCAAACTCCCACATGGTGCTCTAACTCACAAACCATGAGATCATGACCTGAGCTACCCAGGCATCCTCAAAGATAATAAAATGGAAATAAAATAAAATGGCAATGTGTGGATGGAACCGGAGGATATTATGCTAAGTGAAATAAGTCAGTCAGAGAAGGACAGATACTTGAGAAACTTAACAGAAGACCATGGGGGAAGAAAGGAGAAAAATAGTTATAGAGAGGGCAGGAGACAAACCATAAGAGACTCTTAAATACAGAGAACAAACTGAGGGTTGATGGGAGGGTGAGGGAGAGGGGAAAACAGATGATGGGCATTGAGGAGGGCACTTGTTGGGATGAGCACTGAGTGTTGTATGTAAGTGATGAATCACAGGAATCTACCCCCAAAACCAAGAGCACACTGTACACACTGTATGTTAGTCAACTTGACAATCAATTATATTGATAAATAAATAAATAAACTTTAAAAAATATTTTATTTCTTTTTTTTAAGTAGGCTCTACACCCATTGTGGCGCTCAAACTCAAATCTGTGACCAAGTGTGTTTGCAGCAGGGAGCCTGCTTGGGATTCTCTCTCTCTTTTTCTCCACCCGCCCCCCCGCCCCTTCCCTGTTGTGTGCTCTCTCTCTCAAAATAAATAAACATTAAAAAAATAACAGTATTAAAAACCATACACCATTAGTAGGGATATAAAATGATGCAAACCATATGGAAAATAGTTCGGTAGTTCTTCAAAAAGTTGAATATACAGTAACTGTATGAACCAACAATTCTTTTTATTTTTATCTTATTATATTTTTATTTTAGAGAGAGAAAGGGAATAGGGGAGAGGGGCAGAGGGAGAGAGAGTGAGAATCTTAGCAGGCTCCACACTCAGTGCAGAGCCTGATATGGGGCTGACAGATGACCCTGGGATCGTGAAAACTGACTGAGCCACCCAGGCTCCCCTGAACCAACAATTCGATTCCTAAATACATACCCAAGAGAACTGAAAACATATGTTCATGAAAAACCTAGCATGCAAATGTGCATAGCAGCATTACTCATAATAGCTGAAGAGTGGAAAGAACCCCAACGTGCATCAACTAATGAATGGATAAACAAAATGTGTTATACACTTGAATATCACTCAATGATAAAGAAGAATGAAGCACTGATAAATGCTACAACATGGTTGAAACTTGAAGATGTTATGTTACATGAAAGGATCCAGACATAAAAGACAACATATTGTATGATTCTATTCAGATGAAATATCCAGAAAACGCAAATCCTTAGACAGGAAGTGGAATAGTGGTGTCTGGGGCTTACAGGATAGGGAAAATGGGGAGTGAGTGACCCATAATGAGTATGAGATTTCTTTTGGGGGGGTGATGAAAATGTTCTGGAATTAGAGAATGATGATAGTTGCATAACTTTGTAAATACACAAAAGACAGAATTATACATTTTAAGAGTGAGTTTTTTGTTTGTTACATCTCAGTTTTTAAAAGTGGGTGAGGGGCGCCTGGGTGGTTCAGTAGTTTGAGCATCTGACTCTTGATAGGTTCAGGTCTTGATCTCAAAGTTAAGTTCATGGGTTCGAGCCCCGAATTAGGCCTTGCACTGACAGCACGGAGACTATATCAGATTCTCTATTTCCCTCTCTCTCTTTACCTTTCCCTGCCTCTGTCTCTCTTTTTTTGTCTTTCTCTCTCTCTCAAAATTAAATAAATATTGTAGGTCACCTGGGTGGCTTAGTTGGTTAAGCATCTGACTTCTGCTGTCAACGCAGGGCCTACTTGGGTCCTCTGCCTTCCTATTTCTTTAAAAAAAAACTTTTTTTGTATGTTTTATTTTATTATTGAGACAGAGAGAAACAGCACGAGCAGGGGAGGGTCAGAGAGAGAGGGAGACACAGAATCCATAGCGGGGTCCAGGCTCTGAGCTGTCAGCACAGAGCCCGATGCGGGGCTCGAACTTACAAACCTCGAGATCATGACCTGAGTCAAAGTCAGTCGCTTAACCGACTGAGCCACCCAGGTGCCCATCTGTCTTCCTATTTCTGCCCCTCCTCCACCTAGCACAAGTTCTCCCTGTCAAAAATAAATAAACATTTAAAAAAAAAAAACATTAAATGAACAAATAAGCTCTTGTTAAAGCAAAAGATTTTACATTATTCTTTTCCTCAGACAATTTCTTTCTTTTCTTTCTTAATACTTATTTATTTTTGAAAGACAGAGAAAGAGAACATGAGTGGGGGAGGGGCAGAGAGGGAGACACACCTAGAACCAGAAGCAGACTCCAGGCTCTGAGCTGTCAGCACAGAGCCCAACATAGGGCTTGAACTCACAAACTGCAAGATCATGACCTGAGCAGAAATTAGATGCTTAACCTACTGAGCCACCTAGATGTCCTGTCTCTGGACAATTTCTTTTCCCTTTATCCATGGAACTGTTTTTCAACATATATTTTTATGCTTGAAAGGTTTTTTGTTTTTTTTTCAAATTTTTATTTAGATTCTAGTTTGTTAATATATAGTGTAATATTGGTTTCAGGGATAGAATTTAGTGATTCATCACTTACATATAATACCCAGTGCTCAGCACAAAAACCTTCCTTAATGTCCATCACCCATTAAGCCCATCCTCTACCCACTTCCCCTCCAGCAACCCTGTTTATTCTCTGTAGTTAAGAGTCTCCTGGGGCACCTGGGTGGC